CTTTGACTATGTCGACTTTTGTTGGTAAGGTGATGCCTCTGCTTTTTAAGATGCTGTCGAGGTTTGTCATTGCTTTTCTCCCAAGAAGCATTTGTGACTATAGTCACATGATATATTTCCTGCTGGGCCCCATTCACATGGGTGTTATTTTGATTGGAACATTTCTTGCTGTTCTGTGTAGGCAACACCTGCCATCTCCTATGAACCAATTCATTTTCTGTCCCGTTTCTGGGTCCTCACATTTTGCTGTTGTTGTTTTTAGATTTGCAAGTGATATATTGCTAAACTGGCATGGACCTTCATATGTCATTATGTAAAACTGTAGAAGGCAGCATTACAAAGACTTAAATTGGTGTTGAAAAGCTAGGGAGGAAAATAACTATAAGCCACACAAAATTGGGGATGACACTGGCTAAGTGATACATTGGTAAACTGTTGCAGAGAAAAAAAATGAAAGAAAAAGTGATTTATCGCTAAGCATTTTAAAATGATGATGATGATGATGATGATGATGATGATGATGATGATGATGATGATGATGATGATGATGATGATGAAAAAAGTGTACAAGCACAGTGGCCATGGTGCTCAAAAACCTGACTGGTTCACAAAATAAATAAAGAACAATTGCGTTCACAGAGGCCAAAACAATAAGGATTGAAGAGATATAGGGAGCGGATCATTTTAACAAGGCTGTGCCAGCGAGGACCTGATTGGGTGGCCAAATGAATCAATGGTACCCATGCATCGTGTGAATGGAAGTTTATAAAACGATTTAAATAATGGCAGAATCAATATAACTGGGGTTCTTTTGGCACAGAAGACTGTGCTGGCAGTGGGACACAGTCAGCACATATTAGAACGATGGCAGAATTAATATAACTGGGGTTCTTTCGGCACAGAAGACTGTGCTGGCAGTCAGCACATATTGGAACACCCCTGATAATTGCACCATGCATCTGTAAAAGTGGGCTGCAGTCCATGAAAACCTATGCCAGAAACAGAACTCGCCAGTCTTTAAGGTGACCCAAGACCATCAGAATTACTCCGCTGGAAAAGCAGTGCCTGTCAGCCTGGTATAATCTTCCCCAACGCCCAGTCTAGTCCTGTGGCCTCAGCTCGGCAGCCAGAGCCACCTGCTTGGCAGCAGATCTAAGCTTGTCCCTTTTAGCTTTTGCATCTTACAAACACAGGAGGCTTTGTACTCTCATTCTTCAGAGAAAGATCGGAACACGGAGGGACCTTAGAAGGAACCAGAACATCATTTATTTCAAGCCAGTGATTCCCAACCTTGGGGAACCCAGATGTTCTTGGACTAAAACTTCCAGAAGCCTTCACCACTGGCTGTCCTGTCCAGGATTTCTGGGAGTTGTAGTCCAGGAACATCTGGGGACCCAAGGTTGGGAACCACTGCTTTAGCCCTATACTGTCAATGCTGGGTGGAAACAACTCTCCAGCTGGGTTTCAGATAGGAATACTTCCAGTTCTACCTAGAGATGCTAAACGTTGAATCTGGAAACTCAGGAGCAAACCACTTGATCAAGCCTTGACTGATACCATCTCCCCTGACAATAATGAACAACTGAGGGTAGAGGGCAAGAGTACAGTTTGTGGGGGAGGGGAAACCTTTTTTTGGGCTAAAGGCTTCCTATTCCCATGGCGGTTATGCTGCCTGGGGGATTTTGGGAGCTGTAGTCCCTAATGGTAACATTTCCAAGCACATGGGTAGGGGCAAATGGAGATAAACTCATCCCATACCCCTGGCCTTCCCTTCGATTTACACGACTTTCAGAGTTGTTTCACCAATAGACTAAAGAGAGACATCTGTTCAGTGGCTCCTAACTTAGGGTCTCCAGATGTTTTCCGACTCCCAGAAATCCTGGCCAGCACAGCTAGCGACAAAGGCTTCTGGGAATTTTACTCCAAAAACATCTGGGGACCCAAGGATGGGACCCATTTTGCCTGCTCCCCCCTCCCCAATTTTCATCCTGGTGAACTGTCACCATAATGGCCTCAGAAGACACAATCTCACCGGGTTTGAACTCCCCTCATCTTCTATGTTCATTTATAGAATGACTCCCCCACCTTTCCAAAATGTGTCTACTCTGATGGTTTAACCCTATAACCGAGCCACCTACACTTAGGATTAGAGAAGGTGCCTCTTAAACCTGTTGGAAGTACTGATTGTAGAGAGATCTGGTGACAGATAAAGAGATGAGAGGCAAAGTCGTTTGCTAGTGTTTCGTATCAATGTCTGCTCGTTTATTTGCTGGGAATCCAAGGTTCGCTCAAGCATCTCATTGCCATGTTCCATGTGAACAACACTCTGTCGCGTGAGTGGCGGGGGCTTTCTCCAACCTGGCCAGCACAGCTAGCGACAAAGGCTTGTGGGAATTTTACTCCAAAAACATCCGGGGACCCAAGGATGGGACCCACTGTGCCTGCTCCCCCCTCCCCAATTTTCATCCTGGTGAATTGTCACCATAATGGCCTCCGACGACACAATCTCACCGGGTTTAAACTCCCCCCCATCTTCTATTTTCATTTATAGAATAACTCCCCCACCCCTCACCTTTCCTTTCCAGAATGTGTCTACTCTGATGGTTTAACCCTATAACCGAGCCACCTACACTTAGGATTAGAGAAGGTGCCTCTTAAACCTGTTGGAAGTACTGATTGTAGAGAGATCTGGTGGCAGATAAAGAGGTGAGAGGCAAAGTCGTTTGCTAGTGTTTCGTATCAATGTCTGCTCGTTTATTTGCTGGGATCCAAGGTTCACTCAAGCATCTCGTTGCCACGTTCCACGTGAACAACACTCTGTCGTGTGAGTGGCGGAGGCTTTCTCCAGAGCTTGCACAAGGACGTGTCCATGATGTGGCTAACCTTTGTGGGGCTGGATCAGAACTGAGATTTCTGGTGTGATGGGGGGCCGATTCGGCTTTTAGGCAGGTGGCTGCAGCTTGTGGCAAACGTGCAGGCCGAGGCTCTCCTGCACGTTCACCAAAACGTGTATTGAAACGTCAGCAAAAGTGACAAGTCGGATGAAAAGAGGGCAGCCTAGCAGGGGAGCCCAACATTAGCAGGAGTCAATGATACCAGTAATTGAATCCTGGCCAGTCTTCCTCTCTTAGCCCTCCTTGGGCAGGAAAGAGGCCACACGTAAGAGACCAGGGCCGTTCAAGGGTGGAGACGGGACTTGGAGGGTCTTGGCACAGCGCGGGTTGGTGGCCACCTCCAAATATTTCGACACCCGAGACTCGGCAGCAAATATTCCCCACCAAATCTGCATGCAGGTGCCTAAACACAACCAGGTGATTTTGGCGCAGTTAAACCGCAAACCTCTCTTGACCGTAAACACCCAATAGCCAAATCAATAAATAACCACATGCTGCCCTTCCATGAAACCCCACTCTCTACTGCCCTGGGCAGCTGCTTCACTTTCCACAATGGTAGGGTCGGTCATAAAGAAGGCGGACCGCCAAAGAATTGATGCTTTTGAATTGTGGTGCTGGAAGAGGCTCTTGAGAGTCCCCTGGACTGCAAGGAGAACAAACCTATCCGTTCGGAAGGAAATCAACCTTGAGTGCTCACTGGAAGGACAGATCCTGAAGCGGAGGCTCCAAGACTGTGGCCATCTCATGAGAAGAGAAGACTCCCTGGAAAAGACCCTGATGTTGGGAAGAGGTGGAGGCAAGAGGAGAAGGGGACGACAGAGGATGAGATGGATGGACAGGGTCATCGAAGAGCCCAACATGAATGTGACCCAAAGACTCCCTGGAGAAGACCCTGATGTTGGGAAAATGTGAAGGCAGGAGGAGAAGGGGACGACAGAGGACGAGATGGTTGGACAGGGTCATTGAAGCGACTGACATGAATTTGACCCAACTCCGGGAGGCAGTGGAAGACAGGAGGGCCTGGTGTGCTCTGGTCCATGGGGTCACAAAGAGTTGGACACGACTTAACGATTAAACAACAAAGGTCAGTCTGGTTCCCATGGTTGACTTCCAAGCAGAAGGAAAACACAGGGGGCTACCCACACCGACACTCTGTGAGGAAAGGGACTGGCAGTTCAGGGCCACAAACTACCATGGTTTGAAAACAGAGAAAAAAGAGAAGAGAGAGAGAGAGACTGCAAGGGGTCTCTCAAGATCCTGTTGCTAGGCAGAGGTTCTCAGATGAGGGGTGGGCAACCTCATTGTGCCTGGGTCCCCATTTTCTGCCCTGGAATCATCTGGGACCTGCACAAATCATCTAAATGCCCCCTGTCACAAAAAGGGGGGGAGGAACCCAAGAAGCATCCTAAACTTCTATTTTTAAAGGGTATTTTTCTAGTGATAAATGGGGCAGGAGCAGCAACCTTTAAACTACGTATTTAGAAGGTAAAGCCATCACTCTCAGAGGCTTCCAGGATTGGAAGATTCATCATCTTTTGCTGGGTAATTTGTTCGGGTCAAGGGCAGGATCCAGGAGAATTGGTTTAGGTGAAGACCATGAGATGGAAAACAACCTGGGCAAGGGGGGGGGGCCTGCATGTGTCCCTCAGGCTGCATCTTGTCCTCATCTGCGTTCAGTGAAAACCTTCTTCCCCAAAATGTGTGACTGGCAGAGGATCGACGGTTCCCATGGCAGTCGGCTGGGGTGTTCTTTCTTCTAGGGAACCCCGTTTTGCTGCTGGCCCTTTTTCCTTTCCTGGAGAGGAACCTGTAAAATGGGCGCAGCAGTGAGGCTTAAAGATTCTAAGCACCCTTGAAGTGGGGCAAACTCACCTTCACGGACTTCTCAGGAGTGAGAACGGACCTGTAGGTTTCCAGTAAGGGTGTTTGTGTGTGTGTGTGGAAAAGGCCAGGCGAGATGGACATGGACTAAGAAACACCTCTAATATTTAGACTTCCCACTCCCAACCAGCTCCACAGTTAACTTTGCTGCATTTCTTGAAACCCCTTCGGCTGTGTGGCCAGCATCAATGGACAAACCAGAAATGATCACCTCACTCCTTGACATGGTGTTTGGTTTTTTTCTTTTCACCAAAAGGTACACTTCGCACAACTAAATTATCACAGAGGGGCTGCTGCCAACGTCCAAAAGCAGAACGGTTGGATTCTGACTTCGGCTAGACTCCAAGGGAGTGTTCTTTAGCCTTCAGCGGTGGAAGCCCACCAGAACCACAACTGAGAAACCATGCCTTTCATTTCCCCAAACGTAGGACCACCGTTAACAACCCCCTCCAACCCAACGCCAGGGCGATCAATAACCTGCTCGGCACAAACAGTGCTGTCTTACATTTTCTCCCATTTCTCCAAGTGTCCCCTGAACTCCCAAGGACGGAAACACAATCTCGCTGGCAAGGCCCAGCACAGCTTTGGCATCTTTGGTCTACAACCTCCGTTGGCATGCAAAGGCAAGGCACAAGGCGATGATGATCCACTCTTGGCCCTGGTGGCTTTGCAGGTCTCTCCCCCAATTCCCAGGTTCAGAGGGCTCCAAAACAGCCCTCCTGGGGGATGAGAGGAGAAAATTGGTGAACAGAAGCCAGAGGCGTACCCTACAGTCTGCTTTTATGCCCGTCAAGTCCTCGTTCCTTGCTACATCATGCTGATCTGGTGCTTTGGGAGTCACCAAGACCTTGGCCCATCCCCGCGGGCACAAGCCAGCAAAGGACTGCCAGCCTCATGAGGTTCATGGACCTCTGGCTTCGCCCTAGAGTTCAGTGCTGGTAACAGCACTGACCCCATGAACCAGCAGCGTGGGTCCCAGTCCGTGGGTGAGCACCTCAAGCTGCTCCAGGTACCGGAGGTAGAGGTTGGTATCGGCCGGCGGGCGGGGCAAATAGAGGAAGCGGACGGTGGGGGCGGAGCTCTGCTGGAGGATGAGCTGATTGACAGCACTAAGGTACTCGTCAGAAAGACAAGCGGCGTTGCCTGGGAAGTTGATGGCCTCACCGTCCCGGCCCTCCTGCTGGTGGTGCCAATGGAGGGCCACCACACTGTCCCAAAGCACGGTGTGGATGTCCGCCTGGATCCGCAGGTCCTTCAGCAGTTGCCTCAACTTGTCCTCCTGGCCGCCGGGGCGCGCGCCGCTCTCCACGCACAGGAAGAGGCGCAGGCGGGCCCGGCGCCAAGCCCGGGCCATGGCCAGGACACAGGCCATCTGCAGGAGGAAGAGGCTGCTGGTGTCCACATAGCGGGCGCTGTCCGGACGCATCAAGTTGATGGGCCAGACGTCAATGAGGGGCTGCGCCCGCCACCCTGAAGCCTGCGGCAGCTTCAGTTCGTCGAAGGAGCGGGCCAGGAGGACGTTCCGCAGCATCTTGACGGCGTCGGCGATAATGGCCACGTACTCGTGGGCAGAGAGCCGCTTTTGGCTCCTCGAACTCCAGACAGGGGGGAAATTCTGCCAGGTCACTTCCTCGCTATTAAAGGCCGGGTGCTGGGCCAGGGAATCTTGGCAGGCTCTGTTGTCGTAGAAACCCAGGGCGATGGTATTCGGCCTCATGCCTCCTAAAGTGAGAGGAAGAGAAACCAATGAAATGGAAGGTAGAAACATAGAATTACGGAGCGGGAAGAGGCGTGTAAGGCCATCGAGTCCAGCCGCCTGCTCAAAGCAGGAATCCAAATCCAAGCAGATCAAACAGAGGGTGGTCCAGTTTCCTCTTGTAGGCCCCCAACATTTGGGAGAGCCCACTGCGTTCCACAGTCACGGATTCCCTTGTCGTACTGCTCTAACAGTTAAGAAGTTTTTCCTGATATTCTACCTAAATCTGGCTTCCTGTAGCTTGAGCTCATTATTATGTATCCTGCACTCTGGGATGATCGAGAGCGGATCCTTGCCCCTCGTCTGAAAAATGCTATTATATCATATCTCCTAAGACAGGAATGGAGGGTGGTGGGTGGGATCCCTCACACACTCCCAAAAAGGGGCCAGTGGGCAGACTTTTCTATAACTGTGCCTCATGCAGTCAGTTCCGCTGGACATGGGAGGCACAAGGACCAGCCAGCAAACCCAGGAAGTCAAGCCCTAGTCAGCGTGGGCAAGTTTCTTCTATAATCTTTCACCCATGATGAGGTTTGGTGCAGGATTATGGACCTGCCAAAGATCTGGAGAGCTAAATCGCTCTGTACTAATCATCAGCCGGTCTCTGGTGTCTCCAGCAGGTGCCTTTCCCCCCAGAACTCCCTAGAGATGCCGTGGACTGAAAACTGGGCCAGTATACATGCAAAACACAATTTTCTAACTGGAAGCATTCTTTTAAGTGAAACAATTTGATTTGCATTCTAAAATTAATATGCAGGTTTGAAAGCAGTCGTTCAGTTTTTGCATTTCTCTGAATTTTGTGATACAAGGACCAGAATCCAACTGGTGTTTGCACAAGGTTTGTGTTACTTGCCACCACAAACCAGGGCTCATAGGCAAGGCACTGGGGTACATCTTAGTTTTGTACCTGGTCACGAACCTGACAGCCCAATCAGGATAGGGCCCAGCAACCCAGTTAGCCATGGGAAGGTATATGCAAAAACCTGTATGAATACCAAACGAGCAGGACCAATTTTTGGCTAAAAAAAGAAATGTCAGAACGCATACCAAATTGCATATTCTATGCTGAAACACACACAATAATCTCCACTGTAGAGCAACATTTGTATATAAAGGTCTATTTGGAGAAACACAGGGACAAATGTAATGCAAACATTCAGTTAAAAATGCAGATTGATGGAGAAATAAGATAAAATCTACTTATAAACTATAATTGTGTTATAGAATAGAGATGGGCACAAACGGCTGCTTTGGCGGTTCGGAATGGTTTGTTTCCTGGCCAAAGAGGTGACCCACAGTTTGGTGCCCCAATCCCCTCCAGCAGACACCCACTTGGCAGCAGCACCTGGAGGAGGCTGGGTGGGGTGTTGCGGCTGAATAATGCATGCTGGAGAGGGCAGGACACCAAACTGCGGATCAGCTGTTTGGCGGGGGGGGGGGAAACGTGCCGAACTGCCAAAACAGCAGTCCATGCCCATCTCTAATCAAGAGCAGATTGATCTGTTTAACCTACAGCCACTCTATTTTACTCCTTGGGAGAACAGGAGCTAATAAAAGATGATCTGGAACAAGAAGGTAGACTTGGGTAGAACTTGACTTGTATGAGAAGTTGGCAGATGTTCACTGCCCCAGATCCAACACTGAGCTTGGAAAAGTTGCCCTTCTGGACTATAACTCCCAGAATCCTTCTTCTGGGAGTGGAAGTCCCAAGAAGCAACTCAACCGAGCTCCGATTCTCTACACTTGGCCCTACGGCCCAAGCCGGATGGCTACTCACCCAAGCCGGAGATGAAGAGGAGCTGCTGTGTGCCGTGACGCACAGAGTCCGAAACTGTCAGGTTGACAAAGGCTTTGACGTTCAGCCTGTCCACGAGCTGCAGCCACGAGTCGGACTGGTCTGCGAGGGGATCCGCAGGCAGGGAGTCTGAGAGGACAGGGAGAGGGTCAGCCTGCGGAGGTGGCCTTGAGTATCCATACCAAGGGGAAGTGGGAGGCTGCGGCTAACCTTTGGGGACACAAGAACTCTTAACCAAAGATACCACTGAGACCAAAAAATTGGGTCTATGGGTGGATGCATGGTCTTCCTGCAAAGCCACCTGAAAACTATGGCTTGGGAATAGGCAGCCCTCCAGATGTTGCCAGACTACAACACCCAGCAGGCCTCCTCCAGGCCCATGTTGTCCGGGGCTAATGGGAGTTGCAGTCCAAAAGAGGTTTGACTTAGCTAGAGAACTTCAGTTCATTGGGACAACCCCTACATGCACACCGGCTGGGTTTTTGCAAAGAGAGTGCGGGGAGCCTCTTCTAAAAGCCCAATTCACGAAAAATGGCTGGGTACTACTGTACTTTTTCAGTGGTCGACGTGGCCAAAGACAAAAGGAAGGGACCCCCCAAAAAATAAAATAATAGTATGCCATCAAAGTGACCAACATGACTTTGACCAAACTTCGGGAGGCAGTGGAAGACAGGTGGGCCTGGCATGCTCTGGTCCATGGGGTCACGACTAAACAACACTGTCATCAAGTCCGTTCTGACTTATGGTGACCCTATTTCAGGATTTTCCAGCTAGAGGATACTCAGAAGTGGTTCCCCCTTCCCTTCTTCTGGGGGATCCCTGGGGACTGTCCAGCTTGCCCAAGGCCACCCAGGCTGGCTCTTCTCCCTGGAGGCACAGCCAGGAATCAAACCCCCAACCTTTAGGTCTGCAGCCAAATACCTAAAGTACTGAAATATCCAGTGAGCTCAAAACACCTGCATGACTTCATCTTCAAAGTTCTTGCTAGCAGCAACCAAGTTTTAAGAGATGCATTTCAAACCTTCACATTAGAGGAAGGCCTGTACAGAAGGTGGAAAACTACCAAATGATGCATTCATGAGAAATTCAGATATGGCATCTGGGGAACGTCAGAGAGTCCAAGGGGGACCCTATTAAGGACCACCTCTGCCTACAGTGTCTGGCGATCCCCCTCGCTCCTCTAACACCACCTTGGTCTCCTTTCCCCACCACTCTTACTCCCATTAGGCTGCTTTGCTCAAACCAAATCACACAAACTCCTACGCAATGCGAAGACGCCAGCTACATCCCTTACGTTGCGCAACCTTGCAGGTGACCAACCCACATGCTAACCGTACTGCTGCTTTTCTTCTGACCGCCGTGCACAGCCCTCTGTGGGCAGGACATTTTTCCACTTTCTGAGAACAATCGGAGGTTGTTGATATTTCTTCCGGAATTAAGATTGCCACCACTCTGATGGCAGAAAGTGAGGAGGAATTAAAGAACCTTGTAATGAGAGTGAAAGAGGAGAGTGCAAAAAACGGTCTGAAACTCAACATCAAAAAAACTAAGATCATGGCCACTGGTCCCATCACCTCCTGGGAAATAGAAGGGGAAGATATGGAGGCAGTGTCAAATTTTATCTTCCTGGGCTCCATGATCACTGCAGATGGAGACAGCAGCCCTGAAATTAAAAGACGCCTTCGTCTTGGGAGGAAAGCGATGACAAATCTGGACAGCATATTGAAAAGCAGAGACATCACCTTGCCAACAAAAGTCCGAATAGTCAAAGCTATGGTGTTCCCTGTCGTGATGTATTGAAGTGAGAGCTGGACCATAAAGAAAGCAGACCGCCGAAGAATTGATGCCTTTGAATTGTGGTGCTGGAGGAGGCTCTTGAGAATCCCCTGGACTGCAAGGAGAACAAACCTATCAATACTAAAGGAAATCAACCCTGAGTGCTCACTGGAAGGACAGATCCTGAAGCTGAGGCTCCAGTACTTTGGCCATCTCATGAGAAGAAAAGAGTCCTTGGAAAAAACCTTGATGTTAGGAAGGTATGATGGCAAGAGGAGAAGGGGACGACCGAGGATGAGATGGCTGGACAGTGTCTGCGAAGCAACCAACATGAACCTGACACAACTCCGGGAGGCAGTAGGACAGAAGGGCCTGGCGTGCTCTGGTCCATGGGGTCACGAAGAGTCGGACACGACTTAACGACTAAACACACACGAGAACATGGAATGTTCATAAACATTTCATAACACCTCAGCATCCCAGCCAGGGAAAGCCGGTTTCAAACCACATGATGCCAAAGTTCATGCAACTGGTAACAACCAATATTTCAAAGATCTTGAGAAGCACAATCTCAGGTTCTGCTGCTACTTCCATCTAAATTTAGAGATCCACTGCCAAAAGCCCTTTTCTCGCCTGTAATGCTCTGCTCCCTTCATTTTGCGGTGACTTAAGAAGATGATCCCAAGAAGGTTATCTCTTGACTTCAACCATCTCTCTTTAGAAATGGATCTCTTCATTTGTTTGATGAATTGGGTGGAAAATTCTGGCCAAATGCGAATGGGATGGAGCTTTGAACCGCACACCCCAGAGGCCGTGAGCAGCCAGCGTTTGAACTCATTTCTGGGAAGTGGACCTGGCCCGGCCACTTGCCACGAATTTTGGGGTATCCTTGATGCGCCCCCTTCGCGGTGGGCTACTTGCTTGTCACTTGGCCAAGCAGTTCCCCCAAAGTGGGTGGAGAACTAGCAGGTGAGCCTGATCCACACCTGGCCTTCACCTCATCCAGCCACCAACAGCCTCTGATCTTTCCTCATCAGAACCCCCCCATTCCCAACCATCAACCGCCAATGCCTTCTTTCAATGATTTACACAATCACTCGGATTTTTTATCTTTTTCTCTCTTTCTTCCATGCAGTTGAAAAATGAAATTAACAACTCCCCTTTCCCCCATTCCAAGGGGGGGGGAATAGAAATCCATTAGTAACCATGGAAACCACAATGGCTCTGGGAGGGGCCCCATTTGCAGCCTTTATAAAAGTGGCTGAAAAATCAATTTGCAGCACAAAGGATCGGAGTTTGGCAAAAGCCAGCCAGCCAGCGGGTGTAGCTCTAAATGCTTTTCGGCTGGAGGACAGGTAAAAGCAACCTGTGCTGGAGAAGCAGCCGTTTTGCCATCGAGGTGCAGCAGGTAAGGGTTGTGGATAAACCAAGACGTGGCTGAAAAACTCATTAGCCCATTTCAACGCCCATCTCAGAACAACTCAGCTGGTTGATTTGCATGTTGTCCTTTGCTGCATACACAACACAGCTTTTTTTTCCTGGTCGCAATTTTAGGTAAAATATAGTGCATACACAACACAGCTTTTTTTTCCTGGATGGCAGAGAGCACACGTCTTAACGGTTCTTTTCTTCTTTATTCGTATCAGAGTGCCGCACAATTTAAAATTATGGTCGCAATTTTAGGTAAAATATAGGTAAAATTAAAATTTAGGTAAAATATAGGTAAAACTGAAACAAACGGAGATGTTAATATAGCTGGGCTATTTTTGATCAGAAGTGGGCTACTTCACACACACAAGAGTTATATTCAAAATGGGCCCAACCCATTTGTTTGATGCAGAAATTCAAATCAAAGTATCTAATTTTCTCTTGAATGCCTCCAGAACTGGAGCACTCACCACCTCCTGGGGGTAATAGGTCTCACTGTTGTACTGCTCTAACAGTCAAGAAGTTTTTCCTGATACAGTATTTAATCCAAAATCTGGCTTCCTGATACTTGAGCCCATTATTCTGCGTCCCACACTCTGGGATGATAAAGAACAGATCCTGCCCCTCCTTTGTATGGCAAAGGAAATTTTTTAAAGTGCTCTCGTATCCTCTCCTAGAGTGGTCGTATAGACCAGATGGGCGGGAAAGAAATCAAATCAAATCAAATCAATAAACAAATAAACAAATAAAATAAAATAACATAACATAAAATATCTCCTCTCAGTTTTCTTTTCTCAAGGCTAAACCAGCCCAGTTCTTTCCATCTTTCCTCACAGAGTGTGGTCTTCAGTTCCCTGATCATCTTTGTTGCCCTCCGGTGAACTTGTTCCAGTTTGTTAGCATCCTTCAAGTGTCGTGTCCAGAACTGGACATATTCCTCAAGATGTGGCCCTACCTGTGCCAAACAGAGGGGAACCAGTACCTCATGGGATGTGGGGACTATACTTCTGTCTACACCAACTTCGTAGCCAGTTGTTCCCCCAGAGATTTTCATTTCCCTTTCTATTCCTCTTCAGAGTAAACTTGTTCCAGTTTGTTAGCATCCTTCAAGTGTCGTGTCCAGAACTGGACATATTCCTCAAGATGTGGCCCTACCTGTGCCAAACAGAGGGGAACCAGTACCTCATGGGATGTGGGGACTATACTTCTGTCTACACCAACTTCGTAGCCAGTTGTTCCCCCAGAGATTTTCATTTCCCTTTCTATTCCTCTTCAGAGTACTTGTGTGTGTAGGCATCCTTCAGTCCTGAGAGACTATGATAACATGCTCTGAATGGAGGTCTTGGAACCGCGTCTTGTGTGCCTGAGACGGCCAATCCAAGAGTGACCATCCCTTCCACACTGAAGACTAATCCAATCTGTCCCCTGTCCAGCTCCCTGATTTGGCTGGTTTGGGGATGGCCTCTTTGCCTCGGCCTGCTGGACAAGGGTCGCTTCAAATTGGGAGAGGCCGTGATGCACCGCCTGCCTCCAGGCTGAACACTCAGATGTCAAGGTTTCCCATCTGTTGAGGTCTATTCCTAAAGCCTTCAGATCCCGCTTGCAGATCTCCTTGTATCGCAGCTGTGGTCTCCCTCTGGGACAATTTCCCTGCACTAATTCTCCAGACAGGAGATCTTTTGGAACCCGGCCATCAGCCATTCTCACGACATGCCCAAGCCAACGCAGACGTCGAGTACTTGTAAGATGGATGAATACACTGTCGGAGGCCCCTTCCGACAGTGTATTCATCCTTCCCAGAGCTTCAGCATCTCCTGCAATTTCTCCATAGTTCCTCTTGGCTGTCATTTGTTCCCATGTGCATAAGAGAGGGATATGCCTCTGTGGGTTTTGTGAGAGACGGCAATCCTTCCTTCCGTCAGATC